GGCGAGGAAAGTACCGCTACGCCAACCTGACTCCCACAACTTCGGTCCGCCAACCTGACTCCCTGACTTACGTTGTATAATGATTGTGGATTAAGCCGAGTTCCATTGGTGCATTTGGAATTGCCGGTGTCATATGAAAATCAGACTTCTATGAAAATCGGACTCACTTTACCCTTTTATTGGTTAAACCCTCTCACGTGACCGGTCACCTCCTAATTATCTTCGCTTAGGCATGCGCAATGAGTCCGTACTTCATAGAAACCTAAATTTATGCTACATTGGCCATTGCCACAAGTAATTCAGAAAAAAAAACCCGATCAATATGCCCCAAAAAACGATCAATATGCCGTTTTCTTGGGAATCTGAGGTAAATAGCTCTATAAAAGAGCAGTCTTAGATATAATCAGAAACGTTACAACGTTTCAAAGTGTCCAACATGCACAAGCTGTACATCACATACAATCACTGTTGAAAATTAATATTTAATTCATTAAATCAAATTCAGCTCATCCGTATTGCTAATAGTACAAGTTAACCAAATTGTTATGTAAATTTTATCAAACCTGCTGACGCTATGACGCGCATCGTATTTTGCGTGATGTAAGTCCTGCTTTCAAATTATAAAATAGAAGTTAATATTTTACGAAGGACTCCGTTGGATATATGATGAGCACTATAATATTATTGCTAGCTTTGAAAACCATAAAGCTTCCTTTGCTGAGCACCATTCGCGTATGAATTCTTCAAAATCCCTCTCGAATAAAAAAAAAAGATATTTCTGCTCAAAATAAACATAAGGTAAAGTCATTCCAGTCTGCTTAGCTAAGCGACACGGCTTTCCAAAAGTCCAATTGACCGTGTCACGTCGGTCGAACATTACTCCCCTCACATACCATGTACCTTGAACAAACAAATAGCAAGTTTGCCCTTTTCATACATCTCGAGAATTTACTGCAGATTAGGAAAATTTACTACCTTTCTTATTATTCTTTTTGCATGTTGGTGTATACAGCCTCCAAGTTTCACAAGTGGCTGTCTCGGTTGGTAGTGCATCGTCCTCAACGACATAACCACACAAAATTTATCAACATTGACAGCTCAAGTTATCACATAATTTGCTCCGTAAGGCAATTTTACCGCAATGTGTAAATATTTAACACGCACCCACTTCATTTTATATCATTAATGTTACGGCAAAAACTCAGCGAGTCAAGCGAGGTCTTCGCCCTCAAAGCCACAGATATGCCGTTGAAAAAAATTGCGGTCATTAAGTCCGTTTCCACATCCTCCATGCATCTATAGCTGCAAAGCATAACTGCAATGTAATATGAGTCTGCAATGTTGATTTGCATGCTTTTTAATTTTGACCATGCATGCAGAGATGTAAGAAACATTTTTCAGCGGTTAGTTTTCTCTTTTCTTCATCCCATAAGGGATTTCTTTCCGAGGACCTTACACCCATAGGCTCCACTCCGAGCGCCGAGGGTGCGATGTGTGGGGACAGTGGCGTAATTATATGGTTAAACTGGGGGGGGGGGACGGGGGGGGGGGACTGCATAAAGAACTATATTCCGGGGGGGGGATGATCTATAAATTGCCTGTAAATTCCTATTGTGTACAGAAACCAGACTCTAGTTATCTTGTCCATGTAGAATTCCAAATCACAACCTGTATTAAGTTGCCAGATAATGAGGTACCCAGACATAATAGTAATTTCAATGTTTGAAACATGTTTGATATACCATGCACCATATATGACTTCGCGCCTATTTTTCTTATTCTTTTTTCCTATTTTTTCTCCTTTTTGGGGGTTGCTTTTCCGGGGGGGGCAAGGCCCCCTTGCCCCCCCCCCCCCCCTCGCGACGCCCATGACCATGCAGGTCAGACTGGCGTTCCAGAGTTACATCGATCTAAATAATTCCGAAAATTGGAACTGAGTATACATGGAATGTTCAAAAGAGCAGTCGGATCGTTCCTGCCACTGAATTCTTTTTAAAGTTGAACAAAGAAACTGACTAGAGCGGGGTTTGAACCTATTCCTCCAGATTGTCGTTCCGGTGCTCTACCAACTGAGCTATCCAGCCCTATGTTGGCGGTTCCAAAATAATCTTTGTTCAAGGGGCGCCAGTCAGAAGCCATAAACCCGTATATGCCATATGCAGCCATGGATCACGCCTAAAGGCTGAAGTCACGATGCTAGCACAATTAGCGATGCTGCAAACCTGGGAAATAGCAAACGGGGATCACTCATATCCCCGGCTTTTTAAAACAATAAACCACACAAAGGGAAACTGACTACTAGTCAGTTTTCCCTTTGTAGTTTATTTGAAAATCAGTAGAAAATTAATAGGATATAAAGTTCGATTGCCTCTCTGAAACCTAATTCTTCTTTGGGTCGACCACAGTTGCGCTTCCTATTATCATTATGTTGGTTTGGTACAATTCCGGAACGCCAATCTGGGAACGGGTGGTGCTGTTTGCAGTGTCGATCTCCAAATGGTACTGTGCGGTCTTGAACATAATTATCGCTGCTTTACAAGCGGATTGTGTACTCCACTCTATTATGGAACCATTGAATTGTATGGGTTTAATCCTGTGGTTTGCTATTGTGCGTCAATTCTTGGGGCGCTCACCGATTTGCGGTGGTGTGGATTAAGGGATTACATCTATCCATTAACTCAAGTATATAGATAAACACAGTTATATTTAAATCTCATCAGCTACCTGTGTTAGCGATTGCTAAATCGTTCGTTGTTACTGTGTTGCTACTGTGTGCGAATTCTGGAGGCACTCACCGATTTGCGGTTGCGTGATTAACGGATTACAGCTAGCCATTAACTTAAGTAGATAAACGCCGTTATATTTAAATCTCATCAGCTACCTGTTACTGATTGCTAAACCGTTCGTCTCGGTTCCTCAGGAAGTTGCAAGTATAGACCACGTGCCATTTGTTTACAAAGTGGATGTTGTGATCACGTGATTCCAACTTTCACCACTGCTCTCTTCTGCATACACGGAATGTGTATCTCTTGAAATATGCCTCGGTGTGAAAATGGTGACATAAACGGTTTAATGTTTGCAGAAGATGCTTAAATGTTTGGGTTGCCCACCGGTTGCCCTTTGGTATGACGTCACATGGCACATGGTCTATAATAGACCGGATGCGTTGCAGCCTTTCTGGTGTCTCAGAGGGTGTCCTCCCCCCCCCCCCCAACTTAACAGTGAATTGACAAAAGATGTACTCATGCCTATCCAAGCAACACAAAACAATTGCCCTCTTAACTCCGCCTTAACGCAAAAGGTCTATAACTTAGGGTGTGCATCCTTGGTCTCTTGTATATTTTAAGAGAGGAGCACCTTCTCCTTCCTCTCGCCTCCTTTGCCTCCTTTGCCTCCAACTATACGTTTGGCTGACATTCATTATTACCTTATTTGGAATATGAAAGCGGTAGACACGTCATAAACATGAATTCAGCAAATGGATTGATTTGTTTAAGATTGGTTTGTTAGTGGACTCGGACCCCATTTGCCCTATATGCATTTTAGAGATGAAGAAAAAAACCCTGAATTCTTGGAAAAGGAAAGGATTATTTACCGAGATTTCGATTAACTGTTTAATGTTGCTAGGAAATCAACCTGACAATGTGGCCCAATATTCCGATTTCTTACTCCAAGATAAGTTAAATTGTGCAGGCCTATTCTGACCCGTGCGCTAAACTACCCAACACACGCATACCACACAACACGTGCACTCCGTGTCACGCGGAGTCTAGTACCTCGCTTTCAATTCACAGAATTCGCTTTTATCGTAACGTGGTCTGCGTGACCTACGTGGGAAAAAGAATGTTAGCAAAACTCGAGGTTGGGAATTTTAAAGTGTGCTTTTTTTTGTATGAGTGAATCTGTAGGTTTACTCGACTCATTGAGTCAGTTTGTTTGTTGAGCCAGTTTGTCTAATATCTGAAATCATGAAATTTCTCTTTATGATATATTAACCAATTCTACATCTGCAACAGATACAAAGACACTCACAAATTGACGGTAATTAATATTTTCAGTAAGACTGACTGATGATACGCTAGTATAACATCGGGGCTGCTCTAGATTCTCGATCCTGAGAACATTATTGGATCGTGGAAGTTTGTATTACATTTCTGGAGTATGTTTTAAATCGAGAGGGGGCGAGCGGAGCCCCCCCCCCCTTCGAAAGCTTGTCTTTCTTTATACTTTTTCTGCGGCTTAAAATTTTGCCCATGCAATTAAGCGGCTTTTGAGCCTTGACAAAAAAAAACACACTTGGTGTTGTACAAGTGTAATAATGTACTTGTTTATACATGGCAAGCAAATTATTTCAGTTTCACGACGATTCAAAATAAAAGTTGGCTCTCTTTGAAATATCTTTATCGAAAATTGCGTAGGCCTAGGTCAAAAAATTATTCACTTTCTATCAAAAGATAATACCGCTCACCGAAACTTATTGTTGGCCTACTACTAGGCGTATGTTTGAATGCTAGTCATCCGATTTTAGTGACGTTACTGAGGGGGGGGGGGGGGGGGGGGGGGGTCCTCAGAATTTTAGGGGAAGCAAACGACTTTTTATTGTTAAAAACTCATTGATTGCGCCTCCCCCTGAAAAAAAGGAGTCCCCACAAAGTGCCCCCCCCCCCCCCCAAAAAAATTGGACCCAGTTTGGCATTTTGGTAGTTTTTTAATAGAAAGTAATGAACTAGTGCAGTGATGTACATGTACATGTATATTCAGTTATTTAATTTTCACTCCTTTCTTTTTCCAGTCGGTATGGATCAGGGGAATTCCATGCCAACATGAATCTACCTTCCACAAAAACATTTCTTTTCTTTGGCATTGAACATGAAAGGTCAAAATCTGGAATTGGTTTTGTGCGTGATGTCACGTCTGTCCAATCAACACGTACGTTATGTGCTATGTTTACACAGCGTGTATGGCACGTTACCAGACACAATTCCGACTGCAATGTGCATAAATGTATTGTGCATTTGGTCGGCACGTAAATATCCACCGTACCAGTACACTTCGTTCAGCACGCTCGCTCGTAATATTCCCGGAGTTAGCGACGCGTTGCTAGGACAAATGTAGCCCAAATTCACCCCAGGATTCACCCACCATGAGCAGGACCAACACTTCATCTCCATAGGGTAGGATTCCAGGATGATTTGGTGGCAGGAAACGAGTGTTTTCCGTGAGAAACAAACGGTGACGGGACAGGGAGTCGAGAGGTGAAATGAACGGCGTGTCAGCGCAGCAATGCGGCGGGCCAGTGGGTCCGTCGACCGGTGCCGTGTCTGTCTTGGTTGCGACTTACAGGTAAAGAAAGAGGAAACCAACAAATCCCCTGTCTACAGACGAGTTCAGCTAGCTTCGGGAGTATTGTGGAATTATACTTAGATGGCATGGTATTTGATACAGTGTCTTGGATTTGCCAACAGTTACTAGTAAAGTCGGCATTCTGTGTGTTGAGACGACTTCCGAGACAAAAATCTGTCTCTAGAGAAAGTGCATGTATGCTACATGTACGTGTAGAGGAAATGACATTTTTGTGCAAGTAAAAATTCTTCCATTTAGCATTGCAGAAACTAATTATTTGTAGTATTGTTTCAATTGAAACATTGCATTTGGAAGTATTGTTGGGAATCAAAGGATAAAAATTAAACATAAATATTGATGTATTTATTTAAAGTTGCATTTAATGTGATAAAGCTTAGGCCTGATTCACTGTATCTTTATTTGACCGAACTTATCTTCAGTATGAGTATTTTTGCCCCATATTCTTGTTATAAAATTGGACATAGTAAAGGCCTGCATGCACTACTCCAAATAAAAGTAAGTGGTCCGAAAATAATTTTGAGTAATTTAATACTATAGCATAGTTTAATATGCATAGTTTAATGCAGAAATGAGATATAGCTAAAAAAAAAATGGAGTCACCGTCTTGTGGTATCTTGTGGAATTTGAAATAATCTCTCTGTTTTATGTAATTTTAACAATTAAAAAAAAAGTTTAGCTAAAAATAAAATCCACACACAGCACTTCTTCAAAAACATAAGTGCATACGTACTAAATGACAATAACTCTGATGCATTACATTTTGCAAGAGTTTTTGTATCAAATTTGATATCTACCCAGCCACAACAGTTCTCCTTTCTTATTTTATGATTTGTTTGCAAAGCATTATTAGCAAGTTAAGTTCTGAAGATAAAATGAATTTCTGCAAATAGTGCAAACCATGTCTTGGGACAGTTTACCGTTGCATTTATGAGTTAAAGTTTCAGTTGATTAAACAATTTTTTTTGAAAAGCTTCAGTTTGTTTGTCAACATGTCACTGTAAAAACCTGTTCACCAGTTGGTCAGAAACACAAGCAAGGATCTCCACACATTCAAAATCCACACAGTCAAAGGCCAATCACAAATCCAGTTTCTCATTTCAATTGATTGCCCAGTTGTCTTTTAACGAAAATGAAGGATTTTGGAGGATCCAATGCAAAAACAGGCCAAGACCTTAGGATGTAATTATAAAAGCAATTTCCACTGGATGAAGTCTTATAAATGTTGAATTCTTCATGGTTACACAGATGTGCTTAAATAGACAATCATTTACACAAGTATATCTGTGGTGTGAAACATCCATGTTTTTAAATTTTCTACATAAAAAAATTGTAGATTTCAAAAGACTATTTATTCAGCCCAAATTTTCACCAAGTGTTTAACCTCCCTCCAGATCTAGGAAAAAAATTGCAACCTCACAATGTGTTGAATTTAGAAACAGGAAGGTTTTAACATCAGACACGTTTGGTCCAGAAATGTAGGCCCTATAGCTTAATCAAGAAGTTAATTGTTACTGACAACTTTTGGTAGTCGTGAAATTATTCAAATTTCATCTGATCTGCCACTACAGTCCTATCGTTTTCACAATTTTAAATTGTTTAGACAAAAACAGCTTTCTATAAAAGATGAGAAAAAGTCATATATTTATAAACAAATATGGTAATATTGGTATATAAAAAATGAAGTCAAAATGTGTTTTTGAAAAACTAAACTTTGCTGTGCTACTATGTTGAGCCTACAGGTACATGTACTATTCATTGAGACTTGAAATGTAACATACAACACTCAAATGTCAAAGGTTAGGCCTACACATTTTTGGGGGGATTTTCGTTGTGACTATTTATAGACTTCCTAAAATTAATGGTACATGGAGGTAGAACATTAGGCCAAAAAAAAAAAAATTTCAGCTTCCGATTACATGGCATTCGAAAATAAGGTAAGTAGGTAGGACATTTTTTTTTTTTTTGCAAATTTGTTTTTGTTTACGACCATATGGAGGCGTCTGCGTGGAGTCAAGTGTAAAAGGTAGAAATTGATGCTTTTGGGTGTTTTTTTCTCATTTTTCCAATAAAAAAAATTAGGGTAGGGGCTGTCAGAATAGGGTAGGTAGGGAAACCGGAAGCAGAACTATTATTTTTTTGGCCTTAATCATGTTATGCACAATAGTGTCTGGTGCACACGATAACATACTTCATGTTCACTGGTGTATTGCATACAAGTTTTTATGTGGAAATTTACATTCAAACCAACTTGCATAGTCATAGAGTCCTTTGTAACATTTTGAGGATTGTTCCATGACAGAAATGAGTTCAGTTTAATTAAGAACACAAATGAACCCTTTTACTTTGAACAATTTCTTGTTTGGTTCATTATTTAAGAAATTTCAAGCCCCATTTGGAATTTGCACACATTAATGTGTTGTTGATATAAATGGCGCTTTTTCTTCGGATGATATAAAAAAAACTTTGCTCATTTTATACTGTGTTGTTTGATCAAACCAGGTTCAAAATTCTAAAATTCTAATACTAGTATGGACACAGTTTAGGCCTACTCTTTTCCCTTGTTGTTTTCTTCCTATATGTTAGGAACAAATATTTCCAGAAAGTATGTATTTCTGCTCCAGTAGATACACCTCTGATATTTTTGTTCTACATAGCTTGCACTTCACTTTATTGTAAAGTTTGACAGTTTTATTTTTTACCCAAACTGTAGGCCTACACTTGCACATTAAGATTGGACAGTTTTGACTTTAATAAGGATACTCACATCAAATACACAGTTCTATTGGAGGCAATAGCATTTAATCTACAATCTTCAGCTTGAAGGGAAACTAGCCACAAAGAGGAACAATTAAAAAAAATTAATTTGCAATTTCCCGAATTTGGCATAAATTATTGCATCTAGAGCACTGTTGGTACCCTACCGGTACATTGCCACTAAATCTTAGAGTGTGCACATAAAGGCCTATGTAGGCAGTTGGAACACTGAACTGGCATTGAATTAAAGGTAATATGCAACATTTGCTTTTGCTGTAATTTTCAGAAATGGATGAATTTGGGGGTTTAAAGTTTTGTGTTCATAGATGCTGGAAAAACCAAGAAAAAATGCTGTTCTTGTAGTCTGGTTCCCTGACCCTACTTGAGACAAAACGGAGCAATTTATAGACATCAGGGAATTGTCCAAACTACCTGGCTTGCACCAGTTCATGGATGTGTAACTGATCGCCAACAAAATGTGGACTAACTAAATTTGGTAAATTGGGGGCAGAATTTGAAAAAAGGGTACTTTTTTCCAACGATGGTCGGCCGCCCATCATTGGAAATTGATGCAAAAATTTCACTTTTATTGAAAAATGACAGCACACCAGGTACCATGATTTCACAGGACTTTTATTCACTCACAGTCAAATAATGTATTTTATAATAAATTAGTAGTTTTGTTTTTGATGTTTGCATGCCTTTAAGGATACTCACATCAAATAAGTGTGCCCATTTTATATGGGGAAAATAGTATTTAATCTACAATCGTCAGTTTGAAGAGGAAGTAGCCACACATTGGAGCAATTCTATAAAAAGAAGTAATTAGCAATTTTCTAAATTAAGCATATTTATTGCAAAGAGCATTGTTGGAACCCTCTGGGGTATTTTATCCAAAGATTAGAATTGTCAATTAATCTTAAAAGTGTGCAGAGGCATTTGGAATACTGGGCTGGCTTTGAATTAAAGTTGAATCAAATTACAGTATTCAAATTGTTATATTTTTTTCAACCAGTATTAACCAGTGCTTCATATCTGTTCGTTTTTTTTTTTTAATTACATGTAATCCCTTACACTATTGGCTGTTAAACTACCATCAAACTCAGTTTATAATTTACAAAATGAAGGAATGTTTGGTTACTCATGAAGTGTCTAATAAAAAAGTGATGTCTTGTTAATTTTTCAGTTTGCAAATCTAGATATCGTGGCTCTCATTAAAAGAGTATTTAAGTAAAGCAGAAATGTCCCCCTCTCTGTTTTATCAAACCTTGAGATTAATTGGACCAAGTATGTAATAATATTTTTTTTCCATTTAAAGATTTTTGTGTTTATGCCACTTATTTCAGTGTTGGTGGTGAGGGCTCCATGCCAGAGTCAACGTTTACACCGGATGGCGAAGCATGGACAACAAAGAATGCGAGGTAAGTTAATCCTCTACAGTCTCATTCGCATGCCATTAATTAATCCATATTAGGGCGTGAAGGGAGGGGCTACCCCTTCCATAATTTCATTGAGTAATGAGAAACAAATTAAAAGACTGTCTTCCTGAAAGTAGCTCAATAATCAGCGCTGAGGCATTGGATTTTTTTAGCTCCTTGGATCAACCTCTTTTCAGTATTATTATTGTTGGCATCATTTCTTTATAAGATAGATCCTTATTGTGTAATGTTTACTAGCTCTATTTTTTATAACAAAAAAGAGTTTTGTACAGTGTGTTTTACATGTAAAATATCTGAGTGATGCTTTTGAGGTTGCTTGGTATTTTGCAAATTGGCCTAAAACTGGAACATACTCTCAGAGTATGCAGGTAGAGAGATGCCATTATGTTTGCTGTATAAAGCTGAGTGCACAATAATTAGCGTTTTAGACTGCTACTAATAGAATAAATAATGTGCTTGACGCTGATTCGGCTCGGGCCATTATCTGCAACCAGGCCCCTAGCCGGATTTAAACGAACTTGTTTAAGACTGGCCAAGCACATATATTTATTCCCATTCATAAATTTATATACCTCTTGGTCAAGAAGTCAAATCAAGTCAAAAAATTACTAATTTCCAAATATTTTACTTCATGTTTTGTAAAACACCCCTCTGGTCGTGTTTAGGCCTATGTCATGTGCCTCGCGCACTTAGTACTGAAAATATTGAAATTTGCCACGCGCACAACGCGTACTGCGTGATGTGGTGCAGAATGCAGCGGTGTTTTACCGGCAGTTTTAAACCATCCACGTGACGGCCACTCGACCAATCGGAATGGGTAAACTGTCTGAGGTATTTATGAATGGTGTATACATTTTCTTTTGATTTTGTTTCATGAACATTGAACATTGTTGTTCCAGGGGTAAGATTTTTTTCAGGATTTTTCAGGATCTATATGTTGAATTTGTGAGATTTTACCATAAAGGTGTCTGTACCAATAAAGATTGATATAAAACAAAAGAAATGGGTAATTTAAGGGGTACCTTTAGGCAAATGCAAACATAGACCCTACATTGCTCTGGGCCCTCGGCACCCCCCAAACCCTCTGCCGATTATTTCATGGGTTTTTTCATTTTTCCCTCAATACAACCGCCTTATTAAATGCCTCACATACTCAAGAGAAAAAATCACACTTTCAGCATTCTTTAGTTGATATGTTCTGTAGTACACATTGTATAAGTGCCACTAGAGATCAGAGAAAGGATCATGTATGTTTTGTCATTCCTCTTAATAGTGGGAATTCTAAATAAAATCATCAGATGGGTCAATTATTGTAGATTTTTGTGATTTTTTTTTTTCTCGCTGTTGTAGAAGCAACTGATGCAATAACTGTAGGGTTTGAGTTTCAGCTCGTATCGTGCTGCCTGAAGTTAGTTCCCAGAAGTACCATGATTTTTAGACAGTGAGACTGGGTACATATGCTGTTGGATTTCAGGAACATTGTTGTGTAAACTCCATGCTATTGAGTTAGGCCCTGGAGGGTCATCACTTCGTTCAAACCCTAGCCAACCTTCCTCCATGTATACACGCATGCATACATTTTGTGTACATAACGTTCGTGTATGTATCAAGCAATGTTCTGGCTCATAGGGAGAGGTGAAAGATCATGAGCTGGGCCCGGTTTCGTAACATGTCATCTAGGCAAAGAATCTTGACAAACCATGGAGTGCCTCCATGAACAGTAAATTTTATCGTGCATGTACTTCAGGACCACTTGTGAGTGCTTCGCATTAGTTGGTGTGCAAGTACATACCCCCAATTTGTATTGTATGCAGGGCCCCAGTGGAAACCAGTTTTGAACTGTTTGGGCATACGCTAGGTAAAAAATGTAAGAAAAGACATAAACACATAGATCCCACACTTAATTTTCCTCAAGGTACATGTACATGTACATTTTACATTTACACAGCTCACAGGCCTAGGCATCTATAGGATTTCTGTGCTAGGGTTTTAAATTATACAAGATAACAGTATAGTAAAATTCTGTAGCTTGCATAACACATGAACGTTCACACATTAATGCACTTAAATTCCATAATTTCTCCACATTGGAGCATGTACACATAATGTACCGGTACAGGCAACAAGTGGAGTATGTGAAGCCAGATGTTATTGGAACACTTTGGCCAGGAATGGATCACAAATGACTATGCATGCGCAAGTAAATTAAAGTCATCTGAATACATACATACATGTATGTACAGAAAGCTGTCCCGAATATACCGAATATTTGAATATATGCGATCATCAACCGAATATTCGAATAGCTGTTTGCTTGTTGGAATATTCAAAAGATAAAAAACTGTGCATGTACGCACACGCCAGTAAATGTGATGTTACATGTATGTTAATCGTAAAGTTGCTATGCTTTATTGTCAGATGTCACTTTTTGTTGACAGTGGCCTAACTTGTTTTGGTCCTCATTAGCTCATTGTTCTCATCCTTTTAAAGGGAATATACAACATTTGCGAACATCGAAAAATAAAACTACCAAGTTTTTACGGAATACCTTACTAGGATGTTGGTAAATGACAGTCTAAAGCATCCTGTAAAATTATGGCACCTGGTGTGAAGTCATTTTCAAGAAAATGATATTTTTGTATACATTTCCAGCGGTGGTCGGCCGACCACCGTTGGAAAAACCTAACTATTTTGCAACTACTGCTCCCAAATTTACCACTTTTTATTCAGTTCAAATTTTGTTTGCTATTGGTTACATATTCACAAACGGGTGTAGGCCAGCTAGACTTGTTGGACCCTTACCTTACAATTTTCCGTGGAGTCAGGGAACCAGACTACTTGAACATTTTTGTTTTTCTTGGTTTTTCAAGCATTTTCGAACAAAAAACTTCAAACATGTCAGTGTAACAAAATTTGATCTATTATACTAACCCCCCAAATAGTTCATTTCTGAAAATTACCCTTTAACTGGTTAAAGCCAGTTACAAACTACTTACTGTAAAAGACTCCTGCGGCCCATAACATGGATCGCGGTGCGCACATTTTAACTGGCGCGCTTTGTGTGCAGTCCAATATTCGAATATTTGGTCAACTGCAGTTTCGAATAATCGAATACTAAATTGAAATATGAAATTGGACAGCCTTAGCAGAAACCCATCCAACGTAGCCAGTCAAGTTATTGATGAATGTAACAGGTTTGCTTACTGCATTTTTTGTTTGTTAAAATAAAAAAAGAGAAATCATAAATACATAAATGTTTAGGTATGTTATATACACTTGTTGATTAAAAATAATCGTCACAGATAATAGAGGAAGAGGTGAAACCAGCTAGTGCTACACCAGCCTCCATTGGTTAAAATCACTTAGCTTTGAAATGCTTAATATAGGCCTAGTTGTTGCCTTAATAATGTGCCCGTTTACCCTAAAACATACAATGTTCATGTACAGTATACATGTACATACAGATAACTGAAGGGTTACAAAGTCCCTTCCCTTCGACATTACAATGAATGGCACAGAGACCTTTTAACCTGCTCGCATTCATGTGACTTTGTTGTGAGGTTTCTTCCTATGGGACCATTACAAATGGTACGTGTACGGGAAACGTTTGCAGCTCAGGGAAAAGTTGCATGTCAAATCGCCATTTTGCATCTAGTTATTTCAACTGCCACATTATTTAGGCAATGTGCATTTTACATCAAAATGTTGAGATGAATGTGGAATGGATGAAAAAACCACTCAAAATGGTGATTTTAGAAGCATTTTTTTTTCTGAGCTGCATACGTATCTCGTATGAATACCATTTCTGATGGTGCCTATTATTTTTTCCGAGGGGGGGGGTGGTGAAGGGTGTCATCATCTCCATTTGGGAGAGCCTTTTTTTTAAATTAACCATTTGATTGGTAGTTGAATTACACAGTTTTGAAGTAATCCCCCTACATTCTGCTACACATTGGCTTGGTTCACAGGGCAGCATTGAGGTTTTTGGTGCAAGGTTCATTTAGATCCCAAATCGGTCATCTATCAGAAGGTTTTGAAAGGATCCATCCATCAGAAGGATTTGGCAGGAGTGAAGAAGGAATAGCATAGCCTCTACTATACAACCCTTGAATAAATCCCCATCATCTGATTGGTGGCTCGTTGCTCACATGTCATTGAGTTATTTGTCCCAACCACGACCAGGCCGTAAATTTTCTTTTCCCAAATGACATCCGCATACATGGTTGTTTAGCACCCTCTACTTTTTTGATAGGCACGCACGTATATAATTATTTGTTTCCCCACATTTTGGCGAGCAGTGCGACAGCTCAGTCGATAGAAGGTAGGATTTTGCACCGCGAGGTTGCGGGTTCGGAACTCGGTTTTGCACCCGAATGTTTTCCCTTTTCTAACCTGAGGCTTTGGAGGATTTTTTCTAAAAGGGAAATAAAGTCCGAATTTCATAATGTTCAAATTCACTTTTTTTTTCTAATGTTATATTTTCTTCTCATGTTTTTATAAAAGTTAAGTCCAAAACGCCATAGCGTTCACCAATATGTGGATGTCGTTTGGGAGAAAAAAATTCGCAACCCGGCCACACTATGAAAACAGAAGTTCTATTCCACAGTAAATGGGAGTTCCATTGCACAGTTACACTTTTGGTGGCTCTGACTAATCAGATGAAGAGGATTTATTCAGGTGTTGTATAAAACAAATAATGAATGTTTCACATTTTTGCAATGGTGAGAATAATTTCAATCAGTGACAGATGGATGTTCCATTCCACTCGTCTTAGCCTTGTGGAATGGAACATTCATCTGTCACTTCATGAAATTATTCTTACCATTGCACTCATAAACATTCATTATTTGTAGGCCTATAAGAAGGTGTAGTTTATAAGGCATGATTGCACTTGACAAAGAGTGTGCCTTTAGATTTGTGGAAGATCAGGGAAGATTACATGTAAGAATGGTTTCTATAAAACTTCCTAGCGAATATGTTCAGAGAGTAAAGGGTGGTCAACGAGTAGAGAACATGGGCACTGTTTTCACGGTCACAAAAAAATATATTATTTGCACCGTATGTTGCAGTGCAGTACATGTAACTCTGCACATACAGCAAACAGCAACTGAACATCGCAAGCATTTCCTGCCACAGTTCTCCCTTCCCCCCAAAATATTCACCCCCGGAGCGCCACTGGAATGGTGTTCCAGTTACCCCATGTGCCAGTAACCTAATGCCAGCCGGACCGATTGCCTTGCCATTCATGTCGGCCACGAATCAATACCATTTTCAAGGGATGAGCGTCGTCCCATAATCATATCTCGATATCCTGTCCATGATTTTGCGGGTGCGTAGCTATATGTGCTTGTACTGACGGGCTGAAAGAAAAAAGGCACAAGAACAAAAAATGTGACCCTTTTTAATATTTGAGTGACCTTTTTCAAAATTGTAGATGTCCTTTTTTTTTTCAATTTATAATCGCACCAACATAGAATTTAGAATTTTAGAACTAACAATTTAAAACTTAGAATTTAAGGCTTTTGGGGGGCCTGAACTTCATGTATGTTTCATACTGCAGTTATGTCTCAACGAATGCTTTAATAGTAATTTATAACAATTTTATTCTGTCCATAATTTTAGGTTTTTGCTATAAATAGTTCGCCTTTGGTCATGTGATTGTTTATATCTAATACATCTATCATAGTGTTTGCCATTTTGATAGATATTTTCAAGCCGATATCTTTATTTAAAACTTTAGATTAAGAAAGGCAAAAAGCAATACAAAACCTAACTCTTAAAAAAAAAAAAAAAAAAAAAATGTACCGTAAGTGGGCTCATTTATCCCTTCACCTTATTATAAATTCCAACATTGTCTATTTCCAATCATGGGACATTTACATGTAAATTCAAAACTCAATTAACTGCAAACATTCATACTTTATACATGAACAAATTATACATTGACCTTCTGTTTTTAATACAACTTCATTACCATTTTGGTCCAGTGAGAGTCTTAATGCTTGTTATTCACAATTGGCCAGTAAAATTATTTTTTTGCCGATCAAGCACTAGGAGATTGTATCCATTGTGGCCCCCGTGTCGTCGCATAACAACCAACAAAAAAAAACCCTCTCCATCAGAGAGATTACAAGTTTGCAATGGGATGAGCAGAATTACTTCTCCAGAGATTTGGCTGGCTGCTATCGGTTACATGCCTTAGGAGATGTCACTGGAGGAATGAAATTGGAACCGGGACCAGTATGGTGGGGACACTAACGGGGTGTACATTACTGCATCGTTAATTCCCAATGAACTGGGGCTAGCTGTAGAGTGGCAATATCTTCCACATGGAATTTCTCTTTGGCTGAATAAAGAGAAATAAATTAATCTGTCTACAGATGTAGTGTGTACAATTACAGGTATCTTTTGCCCATTTTAAAAAATGAGTACTGAATGAGATATTTGAAAGATAAAGTGCTCAAGAAAGAGTTCTGTGCCCTTTTTTGTGTGCAGAACTTGAGGCTTATATCCTTTTTAATTATATACTTTTTAATCATATACTTTCACATGATTGTGCTAAAAAATTATTTTCAAAAAAAAAAAATGCACAATCAACTAATCTACAAATCTTTTTGTTCAGATACATACCAGGTGCTGGTATGATGTCATGATGAGGTCACTGTAAATGTCACATGACACATGATGACATCTCCACAATGGCATTGTTTGTGCGGTATTTGTTTTGAACCAATTTAAGTTTGAGGTTAATTGATTGATCAAAGTTGCAAGCACATGATTTTTCAGTTGAATAGAGCTAAAGAAAGAAAATACGGTTTTCCAGAAACGTTGCAAGCACACTGTGATTTTTTTCAGTTGAATAGAGCTAAAGTAAGAAAATACGGTTTTCCAGAAATGTTCCAGAAAAAGAAAGAGTAAATTCCAAATGCTTGCCTTTGGAACTCTACTCGTGAGTATGGTGGTTAGGAGAATAGACAATTTAGAATGGTGAATGTACAAATAGCAGCATCGGGGGGGGGGGGGGGGGGGGGACGGGAATATGGAACACTCTGAACTACCGGTACATGTAACTGATTTGTATTTTCCTTTGCTTAATTTTTTGTATTTTTCTTATTTTTTCATGACTTTTCAATTTTATTGATAAGATGTTTAACTAATTTTTATCGTTCAATGTATTTTTAATGTGTGTTTTTACAGCAGACAGGTACAGTTTCCATTTTATTTTGAAAATGGATAATAAACAATTGCATTGAATTGAATTGATTTCGGCCCATCCATTATGCCCAAGAAAAGGCCTCTGTTTCACCAACAACATTTAGTGTCTATTGTGAGTTAGTGTCTAACTCACAATATTGGTAAAAGTGAAGTTTGGTCCGTTGTTAATGTTCTCATGTGCAGTCGAGAAAAGGTGGGATCTATTTTAAGATAACAGGAAGCTTGCAGGCTTACTAAGCCTCGAAGGCATCCACCCCTCAAGGTATTTTTTTGCTCGGGGAATTCGAGGGGAAGGTCGGGGGAAAACACAGCTCACTTCCAGGCCATTATCTGACCATCTGATAGTGACACTTTGACTGACTGATATATTCGACTTTTTTTTTTTCTTAATAGTTTTTGTTTCATCAAAATAGCCTATTGGGAAAACCTGAATAATTTTGCGTCCCTAAGCAGCTTAATTTTATCTCCCGGAGAAGCCAGCTTGAGAAAGAAAAAAAATCCATATCTGATGGAAATATCCTGCAAGTGCACTTTGGCCTGTCAAAAGCTGCACAGGGGAAAAGTTATACGAAGACAGGTGAATAAAGTTTTACTTCAGTTGGTTTCCTCTCATCTTTTCCACAGTTGAGTCTTTAGTCCATGAATGCACAAGCCAAAAGTGGTGCATTTATTTTAAAAAAAACCCACATACACAAAAGCAAGAAATTTATGAGCAGGTTTAACCCTTTGTGATCAGAGTGTGTGCTGTGTGGGCCCACAAAATCCCCTGTTTGGTTGATACTCCTCCAACACTACACATCAGGGCTGCCAACTCTTGCGCATCGAGCGTGAGACTCACACATTTCAGGTTGTTCTCACGCTCTCATGCGCACACAGGATTTCTCACTCTGACAAAAATAAATAAATAAAACTCAAAAATTATGTTTAAATGATAATCTTTTGCTAAAAAAAATTGGTTAAAGTGGTCAGAAATTGCCACAGAGTGTCTAAGAATTCAAACATTTTCGGGGCCCACGCCATTAGGGCTTCACGCTTTGCGCTCGCATAAACATGATTACTTCTGATCAAACTCCATCGCCAATTTCTCACTCTCAGCTCTTACTCAAAGGTGGCAGCCCTGCTACATGCATAAATAGCGTCCACCCGATTTTCCGTGACTTCCAAGACTATACCATACTGACTTGTTACAGCAGTTTCAGTCTAATGGGTCCCCTGACATTGGCCGTTCATTTGGAAGGAAGTTCACTTGGCCCAATGGTTTGTGGGAACAGACAGATAATATGAACGTATTCCACTAGTGCTGTAAATCAATCGATCATAATAATAATAATAGGTGGCATGGGTGGATGAAAAGCTCGCCTCTCACCAATGTGGCCCGGGTTTCGATTCTAGGCTCGGACTATATGTGAGTAGAATTGTTCGTTGATTCTCTTCTGTGCTACGAGGGTTTTTCCCCGGTCTCTCTGGTTTTCCTCCCTCCACAAATACCGGTATCTACACTTTTGATCTCTGGCTGTGCTTTGTGGCCAAGAATGGGTCATACGGTGGCTGCCTAAGGCGCCTTTACATGCCTGCTGCTCGACCACGTTGTAACGGTGTACTTCGCAATTCAGCTTCTCAGCTGCGAGTAAGGATGATTAGCCTCCCAAATTAATCATCATAAAATGCATCGAAATCAACTCTGTTATGCTCAAATCCACACCCCTGATGACTATTAAGTAAAAGTTCCACAGGGTAGTAAACACGTTTCATAATACAATGAAAATCATGGAAAATATAGGCCAGATATTTATGCTGTTGGGCTCCAAAAGTTTTTAACAAACCAAGTAATCCTAATGATTTGGAATTTTAAGCATCCTCTCATTGGTATGGCACTGTGAGGTGTGTTGATTGATCTTTCCATAGTCACTACAAATTTCAGTCTAAACTGCTGTGTGCATTTGGTTACAGGCAAATTTCCTGAGGCAAACTTGGGAGCCCTTTATTCAAAATTTGTACGCTACAACATCCCTTTACATGAAGTTATTTTTTTTTACTCTGTACATCTGAAATACATGTATTTGGTATTTAAAACCTTTGAACAGCTTTTCTTATGCTTATTATAAAAAAAATTGGGGAAAAAAATGGAAATTCTGGCTACCTGTAGCCACTACAGACGTTTCATTTCTGACCACTTGTGACCACAGTACGGTAGATCTGAAAGGGTTGACAACTGTCAATGTGAAAAATATCTCGAGCTGTTGGACTGAGGTTTCCTCAGCTGTAACGAAGCTTGACGAACACTGTGAGTCTCATTCTGTGCAAGGAAGTACAAGGACCTGTGGAATCCTGTACAAATGTAGGACCCTCCACCGCCGAGTGGCCATATAGAATGATTCGATTGGATTACACAGTGCAGAGGCCAAGTAACTGCTCAGTGCTGGCTGTATTTCTGGGCTTTTTTCTTTTGTAACTCCGGGTTACATTACACTACAGAGGTTCTCTTCATAATTTATTCACAAGTGTCAGTAAGATTTGCGGATTCATTCTGTTCGCATTCAGTGGAATTGAAATGATGTGGTGCAGTTACAAATGTAAATTCTGCTTGATATTGATGCAATATTATATGTACATTTATATACATTTGTACATTGTTCATTTGTGAGGCGTTAGGCAAAAAGAGACGGAATTGAGCACAGCCTACAGTGGAGAAAAATGCAACAAACCGAATGGGGATGATTTTTTTTCGATAATATAATCGTTGATATTTTTTAACGAAATAGAATAAAAGTTGTGGAATGAAAGTGTTTTTTAAGGAAAAATGATTAGCATCTTTCATGTTCACGAATACAAAGCTCGAAACTTTAAAGGCCTTTTTCTCAGTATTTTACTTCTCTTGGCATGTTGATAAAATGTATGCGAACTTTTAAACAGCCATAAGTTGTCAACAGAATATCCATTGAAATGCAGCAAACAGTATTGTAAGGAGAATTTTATTCTCTCTCCTGATATCTGCAAAACCTCATTTCGACCTCTGCCCAGTTCTGTCTCATTTTGCCAGAACGCCTCACATTTACATGTGCAATTACAAAATGTGATAATGTATAACCAGGGTCATCGCTGATTGAGTGCTATGTTTTGGTGGAGGGTCAAAATTATCCCTCAAAATTATGCTTTTTTTCTTCAACGTGCTGAAAAAAGCCAAGTAGACCAGTTCGGCGACAGTCATTTTCTGAGGTGGCTCTGTGGTGGCACCAGGCTCGCGTGAGTCGCGCTCAGGTGGTGCCAAACACTCCGGGCTCCTTCCACCAATAGTATTACCAAAATGCGCATGCGTCTCATCTTTAAGAACGCGTGTGGTGAACGTGCGAGCGTGGCACCGCCTCACAAATGGCTTCTAATTTTGTTCAACGGAATTTATACATGTAATGCCAGGCAACAAGCGAATTGTAACAATCGGATATTTTGCATTGATCAGGTTTCAATGTGCACAAGTTTCAGCAGTGCAAAACTAGTAAGCTCTTACCTTCTAGCAAGCTCTTACTGTAGCACTATACTCACTATAATATCAGGCTTTTCCAATTTGCGCATATTGGAGATGAAGGTAATTGTTCACCAAAGAAAAAGTCATAGATGCTGTATAAATGTTGCATGTAATTCTATCATTGGAATCCCTCATTCTCCTGACAACGGGCAGAGCATACTGTTGGAAACGTTGAGTCCCTCCGGTTCTTTTCAGAACCACACATACTCACAAAAGAGATTTATTCACATGGTGCTACCGCAAACTTATCTTGTTTTAATTCTATCATGGAAAAAAATGCACGCATGTCAAAATTTAATAATTTCCAAACTTACGTAGTTTCATTTCCCTTAAAATGGATTTCTAAGTGGCTTGTTCAAAAATTCAGCTATTACTTAATTCCTTGCCTAGTTTTGAATTTGATTTTAAAAAATCATTTGTGGGGCTGACGATGCTAGCAAATGAGATTGAAATCAAAACATTCTTTTTATTCAGTTAATGAAGAAGAAAAAAATTGTTGATCTACATAAAAACCCATTAAATACTCTGTCACTTTTGATTCCAGTTTCGTCAGTGAATGAAAAAAAAAGAAGTTTTTTCATAAGCCGGCTGTGAACGTCATTGCGCCAAGTCACTGTGAACATTTTTGAAAAAGGCAGATAGAAGACTGTTTACTGTGCTGCATAATGTAATGATAGTCATCTTTTAAGTGATTATCATCTCGTCAAGGATTAGAGCAATCTGGCCCTCAG